AATACATGTTGTCGTTCCCCTCTGCCCTGTACCCGTGTTACCACAATCCACCAAGTCCCACGCAAACTTGTTTCCTGAAGGAGACCTTTGTTGAGGAAGTTGAACTGATCAAGGAAGAGCTCCAAAGCAAAGAGCTGATTGTGAAAGGTCAATACGTAAGCGAGGATACAATGTTGAATGAGTGGGGATGGCCAGAGAATCTAAGATTAAACATGGGTGTTGAATTGCGTGCCAATTGCTTTAAACAAGCACTAGACACTGCCAGCCCGAGGAAACGAGTGGCGGCGGTGAAGGCTGAAGCGTTGAAAGACCCAAAGCAATTGATGAGGACAGTACTGGACAGCAGTATGCTTTTGGTATCCAACACTTGATACTGTAAGTAAATAAACCAACACTCAACACCCACCAATGCAATGCTTTGATGCTTCCATGCGTGTTGTTAACCCTGCAAAAATCCATTGGCAGGCGTGACAGGTATGAACGTACGTTGCTGTATTGGGCAGAGACTGCTATTGAGGGAAGCTCCAAGTTCTTTGTCTGATAATGTTTCAATTTCTCTGACAACTGTTTTTCATTGTTTCGTACTATCTTCCTCTCGGGCTGGGTTCCGCTGCTGGGTTGACGTCTGAGGCGATCCAGCACGACTTCACTGAAGAGAAAGATCTCCTGGGATGAGAAAGTTGACTTTGACGGTTTCGAGAAACCGTCTCACTTTGCTGGTCCTCCAAAACAGAGGGGGCAGGAACACCTTGTTGAGGGTGCTCAGTTAAAGCAGTTACAGAAGAACACAGATGGACAGAAGAACCCAAAGGCTCCTTCCAAACTGAAAACCGATGAAGGCCACTGGTTTACCAAAGCTTGAGTTTCAGCTTTAGTACGTATGCTTTAGTATTAGTCGATCAATTCTCTTTCTGCTGTGTAAGAGCTTAAGTCTCACCAACGCCCTCAACCCAACTTTCAGGTGATTCTGATGAGGAGTCGTCTCAGGGGGAATTTGACGATCCTGAGCAAGTCAAGGCTGAGCTTGCCGAGTCACGAGCGGCAAAAATCAGGAAGCAAGCAGGAATACCGGAATTGGAACTAGATGCTCTACCATCATCAATCAGCCAAAAAATTATGACCCTCACCTGGAATACATGTCACACAATGCAATTTTTCATGACTTCTTAATGCGTATGTATCCAAGGACCTGTCTCAGTAAGAGATCTGCAAGATTGCAACTTGGGGCGGACAAGTTCAAAGCCTGTACAAAATTGTCCCACTTGCAAGAACAGTGCCTCCCTTAATTGTTGACATGCCTTTTCCGATACCGTTCGAATCTCCTCGCAGACTTTTTGTTCGCCAAGGATGTTCGACAAGGTGACGCAGTTCATTGAAAGCCTCACGCAGCTATCCGGAGAGTTGGATGTGGCCTACACCAAAGGTGTGGTTAACGGGTTCACTGAAGAGTCGGAGACCAAGCTTTTTTTGAGTGCCCACGCCTTCTATCCTTGTGGAATGTTGATGCAAAATAAGGTCCGAGGAGACAATGCTCACTCTGTACAAGCGAGCCAAAACAATGCTTGGACCTTATCTTGTTCCAAACCGTGTGCGCAACAAACCAATGAACTGGTGATTGCTATTGCATTTCCAAGGGCAGTCGATGGCCTCAACTTGGAGACTCGGATGAGGCCTCCCCTCTTATTTAAGACTCTTCTTTTGATGGCTGATTTCTCTAATTGTATGAACTTCGACCCATCTTTTGTCAGGCCAATTCTGCCCAAGCAAGGGTCCATCAAGCAGAAAGCCAACAAACGGCAAAGCGCTAGGGCCGCAGCAGCAAAGGCAAAGGCCAAAGCCTCTGCTGCAAAGGACAAGTAGTCGATAGTATGTTTTTGGCAAATAGGCCACCAGAGCTACCAGGGATGTGAAGGCCTTTGTACAAGAATAACATCTTGTGTTGCATAACGTGCACGACCTACGGAACTATAACAATTGTGTTGCTTGAGGGTTGTGCCTTCGCCTGTTTCCAAGCATCCTGCTTTGATTAAAGCAGTGTTCAAACAAATTAGATCTAGTAATTGAGGGGTAAGGTCACATGTGGCTGGCCTATGTGTGAACTACACATCAGGCTATGCACCGCAATGACTTGCAGTGAAAATGCCAGCTTTTCAGCCTGTAAGCACATGCTCAACAAGAGGAGATCATCGCTCAAAAAAAAGAAGGTGTAATACAGTAGTACATGTTGAACGACTTCCCATCATGCCAGGTGAAAATGGACCTCAGAAGAGAAGGCCTCTAGCGGAAGCGTATGGTGAAGCCATTGCTGATGGAGTGGCATTCCCAGAGTGCCATTGCCACTCATCAATGATGATACATTTCCCCAAAGTTCGATCCGTTGTGCGCCCGCAAGCCGCACTTTGCTGAGGTCCCAGCCACAACATGTGAAGACATGCGACAAGGTGCCCTTCAAGAGTTTGGACAAGCCTCCAAGCCGGTTTGGAGAGGAAATGTTGCTAGAACTGCTTACAGGTTCATGCGGAGGCTGGGGATAGCGTGGAAGGTTGAGATTGATGTGTTCACTGTTGAACTCGAAGATGGTTCGAAGACAGAGATCCACTACCTGCCTCCGCAAAAGATCCTGCAGTTCTTGGTTGAACATCACCCGCGTCTCGTCTGTGGAGAGGAAACTTGGGAAAAAGGCATGGAAAGCTTCAAGGCTTTCTGGGAAGGATATTCCTGCTATCATCCAACCCACGCTGTTTATGCTCACCACACAGACCTGGCCCGAGTGATTCCTGTAGCCCTTCACGGGGATGAGGGGAAGGGAAAAAGAAGATCCAACACAACCCTTCTATCGTTCGAGAGTGTGCTTGGCTTTGTAAAGAAGTTTCAGCCGTGCTCTACGTGTTGCCCAACATTTTTGAAAGAGCCTGTCCACAAATGCCCAAGAGTGGCAAACCCCATGATCAAGTCTCTCTTCACAAACATGAAAGGACACAGCTATTTACAACACTGGCCCATTATAGTGATTCCTGGAACCTTTGCGGAGAACTACAGGGGGATTAAAGAGCAATTCATGCAGCACTTGGCCACACAGTTTGAGTCGCTATTTCACCATGGTTTTGTGGCACATGGCCATCAGTGGCATTGTGCCGTTGTTGGATTGAAAGCTGACTTGAAATTTCATTCATTTGCTGCCAGACTTACACGGGGATATGAGAACAAAGGCAGGGTGGTTGACAAAGAGTGCTGCCACTGCTGTCTTGCAGGGCAGGCAGGCTTGCCAGCCGAAGATGTTGGGCATGAACCAGTGTGGCTCTCTTCCCTCTACTGTCAAAGACCATGGAATGCAAATGCACTTCCTTACCTGCACGACATCCCTTTCGATTCCAGCCGGCCTGAGGCAATGTACAAGCATGACTGCTTCCACACCCTTCGCCTCGGACTATTTCGAGACATCATTGGCTCAGTCATCTTTTTGTGGATACACTTTGACTACTACGGAAATCGGGGGAAAATAGACATCAAGCTCAACAATGTGTTCTCGCAATTCAAGATGTTCCTGACGACACAAAAAATGAAGGCCTCATTGAGATCTTTCACCAAGAGTTTCTTTGCGTACAAAAACAAACGGAGCTTCCCATGGGCAAACTGCAAAGGAAGCGATGCTACAGTACTGCTCAAGTTCATTGCTGCAATGACTGTTGCCTATCTCAACACAGAAACTTGTCCGGAACGACGAGAAGTTCATTCCGTAATCTTGAGCATGTCGAGGGTGGGGCTGGAAGTTTTTAATCACATGTATCAGCACACCATGTTTATGGACTGGAACTGTGGTGCAGTGCTTTATGAGAAAGGGATGTCGCTCCTTTCAGGCTACGGGTGGCTTGCGAACTGGACTTTCCAACGAAGCCTATGCTTATTTGGAATAAAACCCAAAAGCCACTTTTGGCGCCATGTCCTCCAAGAGGTAAAAACCCAGCTGAACCAAAACTCAATGTATGTGCTAAATCCTGCATTGTTCGACTGCCAGCAAAATGAAGACATAATCGGCAGAATTTGTGGCCTTGCAGTAAAAACTGACAGCAGGGTGCAAAGCTATCGTGTGCTCGAGTTCTACCTCTTCAAAGCCGCAAGGCTGTGCGATCGGCACTTGGGCTCCAACTGATCTGCTCATCGGAAAAGTGCATTGCATTGTGCCGGGCGGAGTGCAAGGTGGATGTTTTGAGATGGTTCTAGGGTTGGGTTTCAGGGTGATGTCAACGAGTACACTGAGTACACCAATCTGCTGGCTTCCAAACTCAACCAACCAAATGCAGGTAGGGTGGAACGTGGGTGATCCATAATTGTCTAGCAGGCGTTGAAGCAATACTTATCAAGCAATCAAATGGCTGCCCGGACGCTCAGCCAACCAAGGAGACCCCTAGACGTCAATAATTTTTACAAACGGCGATTCTCCTGGGAAACAACAATAAAGATTGTTGTTCCAAGAGGCGGCGATCTTTTGACACAGGTGGATGTCGCAGGTATGATGGCCCTTGCAGATCATAAGGGCTTCCCGGTGCGATGTAGTATCGAAAGATGTTTCTGAAGATCCAGGAAATCATCCTGGATTTGCCGCATGAATACATACCTGGATCTTCCAACTATGCAGAATTTCTGCCTTTGGGCTAGTTTTATGAATGAACCGGGAGCCCCTAGTAGCCTTCTCGTTCCTAGGACGGCACCCAAGCACAGAATGGATGTGGCTCTCCGAGCCCAGACCTCTCGCAGTTCGGATGACATCGATGCTACAGACAGAACAACCCTATTTAATGGTCATTTCTGTTTGGTGGGAGACTGGCTGCCTTCCAGCTGCCAATGAGTCTGGAAGTGGATTGGCCCAACTACCCTCATGAGACAGTCATTGAAGATTCAAGAAGTCTCATCCACTTCTGCCTTCCAAGCGGTCTTGGTCGAACGGCCTTTTTGTTGGCCCGTCGAACAAAAACGCCGGCCGGCGGCCCCCGCGGCCCCAGGCAAAGTCGTGGCTACCGGCCCAACTTGCTTCGGGCACTGGAGCGAAGAGGGGTGGCTCTTGGGCGGCAAGGAGGAAGGCCACCTGTGGGAGGGAAGGGGGGTGTGTTGGTGGGGCAGATGTCGGGAGGTCCGGCAGTCTGGCACCTGGGGATGGGTGGATGGTTCTCACTCCTCTTGTCGGAGCTCCGTTGAAGGACTGGTGCTCTGTCTATCAACCGAGTCCCCAAACTTGTGCTGACCAAAAATTGCCAAGAGAAAACCATTGGAGATGAAAACAGTCGACTTGCACATATTCTTGCCTTTGCCTCTTGGAATGATCAGTTCCAAAAGATTTGATCAAGCTTCTAACTACAGACAGGACGGAACCCCAACCCTTCCTCCCCTGCCATCCGCCACAGGGTCAGTTGGTCACCACGCATCCCAGGTGGTGGACGACCTCGCGGCCGCCGTCGGCACCGCCGGAAGCCGCGCCCTGGCGTTGGTGGTCAATGACCTGGTCACGACGAAGCAACCCGATCTGCTGATCATCGAGGCGCGTGGCGCGCGCAGATGCGCCCGTGGGATCTCGTTGCGTGGAGCATCAGAACGCGGGAGTCAACTCACTCACGTGTGCGGATCTGTGCAGATCTGCATGGTTCGACCGTTTGGACTCTTTGGGATTTTGTGGGGTTTTCACGTGTTGCATCGCAGCCATCTGCTTGATTGAGGAACCGGAACCATCTCTGCCTAGGGTATAGGCACCTGTCTTAAAGGCAAGGGTACCCCGAGACCATGCTTCTCCGGTGTGCTGACACCAGTCCCCTTGGACTTGCTGCATGGTCAAAGGGATCCTTGCATATCTTGGGCTGCTCCCACAAATCCAGGTCAAGAACTGGGGCTACCGTAGGGCTACACCCCTTAGGCCTTGGGCAGCCCAACAGCCACTGATGAACTAGATTGCGCATTATGGAGCTAGCATGTCCAAGTACTCATCACATTTAGTGAATAGCAGAATGGGAGCCCCTTTTTTGTCTTCCAAATACAAGTTGGGGTGGTGGTTGGTTATGACACTCATCCAGTGAATTGATCAAGAGCTGAGGCATACATTGATGTAGCCAGCTTCAATAAATTTCAAGATCGGAACCCCCTTACCCTTTTAAACCCTTTGTTGAACCCTGCAGCTTATGGACCTATCTCCTGCCCCCGCGGGTCAGGTCGCGGTCAATGACGGCGACGACCTGCTCGAAAGCACCACGAAGCACGGACGCCCCCAGCACGCGCGCCCGGTGCTGGCGGCGGCCGAGGGCCTCGTCCGGACGGTGCGGCGGGCGTGTCCGCAGACGGCCACGCGGCTGTGTTCATGGGATGGCGGGGAGGACTTGCGTGGTGAGGTGAGATGTGAAATGAGGTGCGAGGTGTGGGGTGGAAAGCTGCAGGGTGGTGTCCTCCACCATAGGTAGTCTTAGGTGTGGTGTGTCTATGCAGGGTGGAGGTGGTCTGGAAACATGCGAGTGACACAAGTGGTATCCTTTGATCCTATAGTGTCTAGGAGTCGCAGGTCGCAGTGGGTGCGATACCGCCAGCTCGATCCACTGTTTGGCAAAAGAGTTCTTTTGGAACCCAAGTAGCAGTAGCACGAGTGGAAGAGTTCTGCCACCACACCAGTGGAAACTCGAGTTCTCCTCTGAGGCTATTCTCTTTCTAGAGATGCCCCTTGGAAACTTGAGTTCTCCTCTGAGGCTATTATCTTTCTAGAGATGCCCCTTGGCGAGCACCAACTTCGGAACGACTCTGGACGTCGACGCTGTGCTCAGCTTGGCATGCAACACTTTTGAACTGAACAGTGTTCAATGAGGCGCCTATGAGTGTCGAAATCCAGACCACAAATCGGATATTTGATCGCCAATTGTTTGGCTGGCTGGTTGTCCTTCGTATATGATCGTATATGAAGTGAGGGACCGTGAAACGTTTTGTCGCATGCACCACGTCGATTGACAACGGCTCTGTTGGGAAGAACTTGGTGTGGCGAGCTAGCAGCAAGTTGCATTCTGTAGAGGTACCTTATATATATATAAGTTAAACAAAGTTAAACATGTTGAACTCATTTGACATCCATACTCCCTTTCTGACACGGATTCTTCATGTTCTGGTTTAGCACTAGGTTTAAGCTCATGGCTTGGGCAATGCTGTTTGCGAGAACATCTCACTTTGGCGCCCAGATGCCCGGGTATAGTCTGGCGCATAGATGGCCTTTGACTATTGGATACTATTGGTTGGTTGGTTACCCTCCTGTTGTTTTGGCAAGTACTCGTACGTACATCCTTGGTCTGCCGTTCGTCATGGTCGGAAGCCATGCGAAATGAAAAAGCCCTGCCCCATGCTCTTCTATGCGCAAACAATTTCACTGGTCCCCGTGGGCTGCAACTAATGATCAATATGAAGAATGTTGTATGAATTCTTTGGACCGGTCCACTCATATTTTGTTGCACCATCTCTTTTTATGCTCTCTGCCGCCCGTTGTCCGTTGGTCACCGAGGTTCCTTCGCGACGATGCCGCCGCGCGCGTGCTGAAGACTGGTTCGGATACTTGGTGTTTGGCTGCCCGACGTGTCGACCGACCTTTTTGGTGGGTTCATTCTTGTGGTCTGACTGTTGAGCAAACAAATTGTCTGTTTTTTTTTCACCTGAACTGAATCATCATCATCATCATCCAACATGGCCCTGGTAATAGGACCTGACTCCTCTGGTCTCAGAACACCCACCACCCCGTGGTTGGTTGCTTCACCCAAGGAAGCCTGGAAGGACTCCTCAGTGGACGAGGTGGGCTGCAACATCGATGTGACCCGCCGGGCTATGTAAGTTAATGTGTGTTCTTTAGGTCCTTTCTTACAAGCGGATCGATATTTAGAATATAAGTATATAACTATAGTCCTTTTATGGCATGTTCCATCATGTTCCATATATATATATATATACGCGGACTGATGTTCGGGCAAGTGTCTTCCGCGGCATTGCGTGGCTGGAGAGAGCATCCATGAGCATCCATAGGATCGCCCGAGCAACCTCAAGTCCTAGTGGCCTTGCCATCATGTTCCATCGAACATATTTGTTGACCGTGTGGACCCTCAACCAGATACCTCAGGTATTGAGCATTGGCCATGAATCCCTAGGGACCTAGGGATCCACTACCACCTTCTGAGGTTCGTTACGACTGGACCAGACGTTTTGGCGCCTACATAAATTTAAAATAGCATCACAATCTCAGAGTCTATGTGGATCCATACCCAGACACGACCCATGGGACTACCACATGTGCCGATCAGTTGCGGTGGTTCGGGCGGTCAATCTAGGCATAAATGGCAGTCCTACGGAGTGTCTTGGATAGGGAATGATCCAACGTGTTCTTGTTCCGACCGTGCCGAGGCCATTGGATGGTACCACGAGGTGGCACCCCGCTTGCATCGACACCTTTGCCGAAGTTGCTTGGGCAAAGCCATGAAATGACCAGAGGAAAAAGACACAAAAAGACAGGAGGAATACTGGAAGCACCATTGAGCCCTGGCACCCACCCCAACCATGATCGAAACGGAGGTAGGCCAGGAGCCCTAGGGATTGGTATTCCCACCGACCAGGTCGTTTAAGATCGACCCCTCACTGGGTCATCCGGTGTCCAGTAGACTCTACTCTACACTGCCAGACTGGACCTCTATTGTTCATTGAATGATCATGAACCCTAAACCCTAAACCAATCTACCCTAAAAATCGAGGACTCTCAAAGGTGAAGGTTTTGAAGGTCCAAACCCCTGCTATGCAGGGTCCAAACCCTCCATTGTAGGGTCCGATGATTCTTAGGATCCAGATTTTGGGATCCCCTGGACCGGCCTTGGACGGTCAGGTTATGGTCTTTGCCAGATCGATTTAGTCCCTGCCTTCCGGTCCTTGAGTCTCGACGATCGCCAGTCACTGGGCCTGCGCTTTGGGGAGCGGAGCGGAGGGGTCCCGGTCGACCGGGCGAAGACCTTCGGTGTGAAGGTTCCAGGAGGTTCCAGCCGATGTGATGTGGCACCGGGCACCCGAGGATGTGATGCGTCACCTCACCCTACGTCCTCCGTTGGGATCCGAACTAGCAAGTCCGACGTCCGACCCCTGGAAACTGCTTGGGTCGTTCAAAGCTGGCGGCTTTTTCCAATGCAACCCCCTTGACCGTTGGAATGGTGGGTGAGTCGGAGTTGGTGGTGCACTGCCTTTGGGGTGGTCGAGGCACCATGTGAGTGCGTTTGTCCACATAGGCACCACCCTTTAGGTGTCCATTATATAGCCCCTTAGAGGTCAAGGGGGTGTCCATGAACCACGCTTTAGGGGTCCTGGATAGTTGTTTGTTTAGATTAATCTATCCCTAAGGATCCAAGTACCCACTGAGAAGGTGGGACTGGGGTGGGTGCCAGGAGGGTCCAGTCGTACCTTTTGAGGAGGTACGACTGGATTTGTAGGGTATATGATTGTATACCAGCACCCGACCACCGGCAGGTCTGGTCACCACCGGCAGGTCCGGTCACCACCGGCAGGTCCGGTCGCCACCGTTTTACGACGCAGGGAGGGTCTTGGTCCGGGTCTTCATGGGACGCAGATGGACGAAGTACCTACCAAGAGAGGATCAGAGAGGTAGGTTAAGTGACCGTCAATAGGACCTTACTTTACTGGCCATGGGGTACCCGTCCCTGGGATAGGCTATAATTAGGGTCCTGACCCACCTCTGTTGGTATTCACCAACCAGTCTGAAAGAAGAGTCGACGAAGTCTTCGAGTGTCTCGTCTCGGGTGAAGCTCGCCGTCCGCGGGTTCCCGACGCCGGACCCGTCTTCATGGGTGTTTCCAGCATGTAAAAGCAGATCATGTCGATCATTGGGATTCTGGATACCATGAATGATCATACCTGGACCCTCCAAGGGGTGTCCAATCAACTACCCCACACTACCTATAGGCTTCCATTGGGCACCCCTTAGAGGGTCCTGGTATGTGATTGCATCTGAGAATCGATTTTTAAATTAAACAATTCGCCTCTTCACACTCAGGTGCATCATTTCGATCCTCAGATGGGGGGGGGAATCCATCAGTTCGACGGAGCCCTGGAAGACTCCTCGGTGCGGGTCGGTTTCGAAGCCCATGGTCGGTCGATCCATCCCGGATCCACAGACCGAAGCTCAGTAATTGGAGCCCCTGGTCGGCCTCCAGTCGTACTTTCTGAGGAGGTGGGACTGGGGTGGGTGCCAGGAGGGTCCAGTCATACCTTCTGAGGAGGTACGACTGGAGGTGTAGGGGCAGGTCAGGAGGGTCCAATTACCTTCTGAGAAGGTGGCAGTGGATCCAGTCCGGGCATGTTACGTAGGTAGCGACGTGCCTCGACATCGTCCGGGCAGGAGGAGGGCCGGAGGAGCGATGCCTTGGTGGAATCCTGATGATCTTATGAAAAAACTGCTACGTCAAGTCGAAAGACCATGCTTTCCATGTTCTCCCCGAAGAAGAACACCCTGAAGACTACTAAGAGCTTCCTGTGGTGTTGAATGGAGATCCAGGATAGGGTAGTCTATCGGAGACCACCAAGGGATGTTGCGAGTTTTTCTTTGACTCCCAGGCTGCGAAGGGATCGTGGGATGTCGCTGCTTCCCCCTGCGACCGGTTGACAGCCCAAACGAAAACCGTGCAAAAAAGAGGACAGAAACTAGGCAAGGCCAAGTGAACAGTAAGTTTATGAGCAATGATGTTTTGGAAGTTTAGGCGTTTTATTGTATCTAACTTGTGGGCTGTTGGGGAACATACAGAGACATGCAAAACATCTCAGTCCGACGGAAGACGGAAGACGGGAGACAATCATCATTTTTCAGCGGCTGAATGACCAGCCCATGACCAAAAATCTGAGTCGGGAGCTGAATGGCCATGACCAGCCCCGAGACGATGAAATGTGAGGTGGCTGAGAATGCCGGAGACGATGGTGGCTCCTCGGCGCTGCAGGCCCCGCCACCGCCACCACCCACGTTCGACCAGGTATGGATCATCAACGTATTTTTGCCCAGTGGTGCCATGACGGCTGTGTCGATGTCCCCAGGCTCTAGCGTTTTGGAACTGAAATCTGCTGCCAGATTGGATCTCCTCGGAAAGCTCTTCTTCGAATTGGTAACAGCTGACGCTTGGAGGAAGAAGCAGAGCCCCTTCAAGACCTGGTTTTGTTTGCAACTCCAGCGTTTGTTGTCACTTGTACCATTATTGTCAACATCAATTTTACACCTAGTCCGGAGCTTAAATCCGTACCAAACACTCAACATCCATCTTCAGTTCCGAGGACCAGCGACCACTGTGGAATGTCACCGACAGTCTTCAAGACGCTGGACTCCGAAATGGTGATTGCTTGACGGCCATCATCCAAGTGCCTCACATGGCTTCGACCAACCGGGCCTTCGCAATGTGGCGTGGTGGCGGCGGCGCCATGACATGGGGTGATCCCTTCTTTGGAGGTGACAGCAGAGCGGTTCAAGATCAGTTGAAGCGTGTGCAAGCGATTAAGGGTTCTGCCGCCGCTTTCGCTGCCCTCTTGGCTGATGGATCTCTTGTGACTTGGGGCGATCAGGCTCGGGGAGGTGACAGCAGCAGTGTCCATCATCAGCTCAAGCATGTTCAACAGATTCAGGCATCCAACGGTGCATTTGCCGCAACTTTGATTGATGGATCCGTTGTGACCTGGGGCGAGCCATCTGCCGGTGGAGACAGCAGCGCTGTCCATGATCAGCTGAAAGATGTTCAGGAGGTAAAGGCTTCAGCAGGTGCTTTCGTTGCCATTTTGGCTGATGGATCTGTTGTTACTTGGGGTGATCCTGCTTATGGTGGCGACAGCAGTGCGGTCCATCATCAGCTGAAGGGTGTTCAGCAGATTGAAGCTTCATCAACAATGGCAGGGGCTGCTTTTGCTGCCATCGTGGCAGAGGGATTTGTGGTCACCTGGGGCAATCCAAGATTTGGTGGCGACAGCAGTTCAGTCCAAGAAGAGCTGAAACATGTGCAACAACTCCGGGCGTCGGGTGGGGCATTCGCAGCCATTTTGGCCGATGGCAGTGTGGTGACGTGGGGGGATCTGAAGTGCGGTGGCGACAGCAGGAAGGTGAAAGATCAGTTGAAGAATGTCCGAGAAGTCCAAGGGTCTGATGGTGCTTTTGCAGCCATTTTGGCTGGAGGGACTGTGGTGGCTTGGGGCGATTCAGCTTATGGTGGAAGTAGCCGTCGTGTCCATGATCAGCTTCAAAACGTGGTGCAGATTCAGTCCACGAAGACTGCCTTCCTTGCGATCTTGGCAGATGAGTCGGTCGTCACTTGGGGCGATCCGCGCTTTGGTGGTGACAGCAGCAAGGTTCGAGATCAGCTGAAGGGTGTGCAGGAGATCCATTGCACGGCCTGCTCTGCAGCAGCACGTTTGGCTGATGGATCGTGGATCACCTGGGGAGATGCCAGGGCTGGTGGTGACAGCAGTGGCATCCAGGAATTGATGCAGCTTCTTTGATGCAGAGACCAGAGGGCGACACGCAAAAGGAAGACAGATGGGGCTGCATGAACCCAAGATGAGTTTGGGGTTGCCTAAATTGGACATCGGATGAAATCGGAGAAGGAAAGGAATTATATATTGCTAGAAAACGAGACGTGTTGAGTAATATAGATGTTTAAAGGTTTGCTGATGTTTGCCGGCTATATGCACAGTGTTGCTTCACAGCTCATAACTGACCTCTCTAATATGACTTGTGCGGTCACTTCTTTCAACTGGGCTTCATCTGGGAAGGGACAAAACCTCTCCTAACAAATGGAGTCTCCGGGGTTTTGACGCACGCACGCACACACACACACTGATATATAGTCGGTCTATCCCTGCAGTCTGACCCAGTAAAACCTAGTCTTCCACCTCCTGATGTCTCTTTTGTATGACCAAACTCCAGTATTCATGAGGTCCGTCCCTGACTTGTAGGGTATGTCCCTTTCAAACTCACTCCTGATCCACCTGACATGCACAACTCACTCTGTCCCCCGAGTCCGTCCACCAGCCTCGACGAAGCGGTCAGCGGTCAGCGCGCGCTTCACTGGACGGTAGGAAGTGGTTCCGGGACGATTGCCACCACTCGGACGCCGGGGGCGAAGCGGTCTCTTGGGCGGTTTGAAAGGGAAAACCGGGTTTAGGAAAGGGGAAAACGTGTGCCTGGGTGAATCAGGTGCCTGGTGGAACAGGCGGAACTAAGGATGGGTGCCTGGGTGATGTGATGTGATGTGTTGCGGTGTTTTTTCCGTTTTTTTTTTTGTGGATGAACCCCCTGGCTTGGGGAATACCTGGAAAGGCGTATGAACACTTTTTTTCTGTGCGAAGGCCGTCTTTGGACAGAATGTATCGTATGGACATTTTAATTAACAAATTAGCGTATTCAGCCGTATGGACAAAAAACAATACCGTACCAAAGCGTACCCATATGAAACCCAAACTTTATCAACATGTTATTGACAAAACCCAAACAATATTATATTGATAAAACCCAATCAAACCCAATATTCGGAAGAATTTGTCCATTTGACAAAAAAGGCCGGATGCACGGATGTTTTTTTTGCGAACGTGTTTGAACCGTTTGAACAACAAAAAATGCACATTTGGATTCCCTAGTAGTTGATAGATGTTCATAGGTTTTTACCCAGGTTTCCTGGACTCAATCCAACCCAGAGGTGTTCGGAGGCGATTGGGAGGTGTGCGGAGGCAGTGGTGATCGACTTAGGAGGTTGCTAATGTACATTAATGTACTAGTACGCACTACTTGCTCCTTCCAAAGTACCTTACAAAAATGAAACATGACCTTATAAACACAGGTACTTCTACTTCTACCCATTGAAACTCCAGGTAGCATAAAGTGTTTCAAGAGTGTCTAAATATGTCTAAATACTACTGTAGGTTTTGTGGCCCCAGCTCTTGGCTCTTTAGTGGAACCTGACTCTCTATCCGTCCGCTATTTGCTGTTTGAGTGAGGCCTCCTTCGAAGGGACCAATATCGGCCGCAAGCCGTCGTTGAGGGGTTACACTTTGCATATAGTTGCATTATTGAAAGATATTGCCGGACACCCTAAGTCCATGGGCATGTACTCTAAATGTAAATCTGCCATTTCTGGACTTTATATCTATCGCAGAACCCGCCAATCCACCACAGCCATTCAACAAATTGTTCGCATCAGATCACAAAAGAAATTGATGTTGGATGGTCATGAGAGGACCGGTGTCAGGACCGGAGAGGCTGGGTAGGTCGATTGAACAGCGTTTGGGTCGGTCCACTACGGGAGCGACCGTGTATGATACGTAGAGTGGTTGGAACATCCGATGTTTGTATGGTATGTACCTGAAAAAACCCTCAAGACCAATGTAAAGCTATAGAACATAATTAGCCTGTACATCCCTTCGATACAAAAAAAAACGCTCAAAACTAAAAACGCTACCAACCTCCAAAAAGTGTATCTAACCACTAAAAAGTGCTCATACCACCTCTCAAGTCATTCATCTCCTGACCGCCTGCTCACACTTATGCACACACCTACGACTGGCATCGATGCGCTGGGCCAAGCTTTTCTCGCAAGGGACCTCAGCGGAAGCACTCCTTCCAGTATCGGTGGTAACTCAGAAGTGAGACCTCGATTGTTCTCTGAGGGGTGGTAAGGCTGTGCTGATGGCGTGAGGATCTACTGATTTTACCAATAAAATCCTCATCGCCCCAACACATCCAAACGGTTGGATTCAAAGCACGATTCGCGGTAGTGAGTTGGTGCGAGAGGTCAAGCCTTAGGCAGGTTGGGCCATGGTCCATGGTGAGAAAAGCTAGAGTTCATGAGTGCATTAATCACGTGTACATTCATGAATCTACATACATTTCAGTCACGGAACAGTATATGGCCCATCATGTGCAGCTTCGGCCTGCACTTGAACAACCGTAGTCGTAGACTAGCCGTCAGTGAACTCAGGCAAGCGTATGCTTCCTTGCGTACTGTCAAGGATGTTTGGTTTCGGGTGTGAGGAATCCCAAACAAAGCCTTCTGATCTATAGCCTAAGCGTCCACCATGGCCCAACCTGCACTGATGGCTGTTGTTGCCACATCGGGAGATAGGAAGAACCCATTGGCATAGAGCGTCCTCCAGAAGCTGCCACTTGCCCGGTTCATATATTTCACCACTTCAAGGACTTCTGACAAGGGGTGATCCTTAGGGACATAAGCTGAGAAACCCTTCAGACTACATCCACACCCCTCAATAAAAGAGAGTGAGTGTGTGAAATATACCTGAATAGGCGGGCTCAACCAAAGCAATGCTCTATGTGACAGCCTGGCGACTGAGGCCACGGATGCTGAAGAAAGCTCAACTTCCAGCCAGGATCCCAAGATGGCTGTATCGTGGCCTTTACCGCCACCAGAGGGGTATGCACCAGTCCTTCTATTGGCGAGGGAAAATGAGAAGGGGTAGCTTTTGTTTGCACAAACCATCCCCAAAGTTTGAGGGAAAGAAAAGTATAGTTCTGGGCACAGGTGAGATGCTGCTGAATCTTGAACTGCAATTTGTTGAAGTAGGAAATGCTGGTATGCTTGCGGTTGGTCTTACACCAAGTGGCATAGCGTTCAAAAGCCCTCTCCAACTTTGCATCAACAGTACCCCTTTGCCCAAAGTGACCGATCTTCACTAAAACCATCAATGCGCTGGCGTTCTCATCTTTCCCATAACCTATGTGATAGGTGTGAGTAGGATCCGTTTGGATTCGGGATGGTTCCGTGCCCCCGGGGATGTTGGACAAAGGAAGATAGCAATTGGCCTTGAAAGGTGACGGATTGATGTACCCAACAGATAAGCTGCGCAAAGGTCCATCAGGTGACATGTTCCACCACTCCTTAGATAGCTAGCTTTGTTTACAAATTAGTGAAATTGACATTACAACTTCAGATCCCTTCACCCTCAAAGAAAGTAAAAAAAGTTACAAGTGGTCCAAGATACTTGTACGTCACAAAGGTGACACTTCCGGGGATTTCTAGCTTGGAAACCTGGCTTCAGTTTTGCGATCTTCCTGAGGAATGGCCAATCACCTTTCAATCCAACGTACACGGGTCTCAATCTCACTGGCTGACCATTGATGGCAACCTGGGCAAAGACCCAGATGTCTAAGAGTCTAGGACCATTGGGATCTTCGAGGCTTTTAGGACCCCCTTACTCCACAAACCACCGTCAAAAAACATATGACTGGTTGAGGAACTTCAAAGCCCCCTTCGTACAATCTATTGAAGTCTTGCACAAGCGCGTCAAACAATCCATCAAAAGTCTTGTCGTTCTTGGCGTACATAGCCGATGGAACAGCTGCATACAAGAGGCGGTTGGTGTATGTTGCCCTCAGGGTTTGGCTTGTATATATCCTATATAGAGTATAGATAAACAAATCCTTCAAACATTCACAAATTCAAAATCTATATATATATATATTTTGGACTGACTTGGCGGGCCCCTTCAAATTGGCTTTGCCATCAAAGTTGGTGATGACCGGCTGATAGCTGAAAATCATAATTGGCCGCTTGTAGCGGCCTCGGCCCTCATCTCCATGAATTGCAATTGGGAATGAAAACCCATAGGCATCTTCTGGAAAATCTTTGTAAAATGGCAAGTTGGGGTCTACCGCTTTGTAACTCAACCACCAATCCCTCAGGATGTTGGAAAACTCGGCGAAATGATCCGTGCTTCTCCCACCAAGAAAGAAGTGACCACCAAAGCTGAATGCGGTTTCCATCCACGCGGAAAGCGGCAAGGTCGGGTAGTCATAGTCCACTTCACGAACTCTGGCTTTGGAGATCCTGCGCACAATCGTGGGCACTAGTACAACTTCCACTGGCAGACGGCGCCCAGTCTTTGCAGCAAAAGCGTGAAGCCGGCGACAGCCGTGCGAGACTTTGACATTCTTTGGCTCCGCCAACAAAGAAAGTTCAGTGTCTGCAATGCCTAGGAACCAAAGTGAGGACCACAAAAGTGGATATCTAATGGTCAACCCTGACACAAAAACCATTCAGCCAAAGGGCCATGTTTTTTGAGTTTTCTCGAAACCATCCCCGCCATCTTGCATGCGTGTTTTGCGGGAATGCCTTGCTCCACGCCTTTCACGAGCTCACCGGCAATGTCTTCATCAGAGCCTGGGACACCAGCCAGTGGCAAAAAGGCGAAACCCAAAACTGACACCATGCGTATTCTAGGACCCATGCTCACGCTGTCATCTGGACCTGGCCATGCACTGGGTACAACCTGGTTCGTTTGAAGCATGCGTGCTAGAACAATTCCAAAGCAAGTACGGCTTGTTTTTGCACCACAGCTTGTCTTCGCCACACAGCGTCTGACAGTTTTGAATGCGGCTTTCCAACCGCCTTCCCTACCAATCAGTCTATGCCATTGTGGCCAAAAAAAGCTCCAAAATCTGTGGCTGGAGCAAATCAAAATCAGCTACCCCTCCAAAGCATCAGCCTTGCGCTTTGAACTGGCGGACTTCGCTTTGGCTTTCTTCGCTGCCTTCCCCTTGGCCTTTGGCCTTGAGGATTTCTTCCCAGCATCCTCAGTACTCTCAGCCTTCGGCTTCTTGATCTGCCTAGGCAACCATGGCCCAAAATATACATGTTTCCAACATCTTGGGACAACTATAGATCTAAGCTCATAGCTTGGATCTGGAAATGAAATTGTTGAGAGTCACGTCGAGCTTCGTGCAGGTTGCATAGTGCCCCTGAAGTTCTGTCTCAAAGTCCCTGCCATCTCAATTGTGTCAGGGTTACACCAAACATCAAACATGGCTGGCGCGGATAGTCTCAAACCCTGGAATGTGTCACGCGTGAGTTAGGCCTGGTCACATTCATAAGTAGGTCACGCTGAGCATCCATCAACTTCTCATGCACGGACTTGAGCTGCTCGATCACGATCTTGATTTGGGCCAGCAGCCTGGGCCATTGGTGTCGGGACTCCAAATGCTAAGTCAATCGGTATGTGAACTTTTATGCCGTCTAGTGCAACCGCATCGGTGGACATGCATTTCAATGTCCAAGCGAGAAACTCTTTGGAACGAACTGTTCCAATTGATTCGAGGTTGTCCTGAGACACACGTGAACACATATGACAAAAACACGTACATGTTCCAAATGTGCACCAAATATCTTGGTGCGTCCTAGCATCACAAACCTTGTGAGTGTTATCCATCTTCCGGCTGCAAACTTCGACAAAGGAAGGCAACAAGGAAACATGGCTTGCATTCTGCTTCAAGCTCGGGTAGCACAACCTAAGGTTTGCAGGGTAGCTTAATTTGCAAAAAGGTTTGCTCCCAGAAGTGTGTCATACATGAATCCGACTAGCAACTTAAAGGAAGAAGACTCAGCTCTGATGTTCGCTCCATCTGCCTCTCCAGCCTCCATGGCTTTCGCAGCAGCGAAAGCTGCTAGGGTTTCATTGCCGGCTGTTGTGTCAGGGATCCAGTCGGCATCGAGCAATGTACCATCTGGGTCCTGCGCGTATTTTTTAAAAAATATGTTCTACTATATAGGCGGTATGGTGAGCAGGCAGTATAATCTGTGGGGTCCTCTAAATCAAAGTCCCCTTGCTGACTCATGCCCTCACCCTTCTCAGTGCGGAACAAGAACTCATCGTCCAGCACAATCCCTATCTCTTCTTCTCCGTGGACAGGATTCTTGCGTTTCTTGTGATGGCGTTCCGCCCAATCCCAAGCGGCGTCCAACATTTTCCTGGGATCTGTTGGGGTTGACCAAAACCTATAATGCATCAAACAATGCAGTATATTGCTACTGAGGTTCTTGGTCCAATGTCTCTCGTTTTGCAACCATACCTTTGTGTACCAGCCTCCTTTTTTATCAAACCTAGCTTTCTTCTCCACCCACTTCTTGATCGATACCTCGATCTTCGCAAACTCCCCATGCCTCTTCAGAAGTTCCTTCAGCTTGTCACCTGCCAAAACAGCAGAGGCACAGGTGATATGATATGCATGACCAATCTAGTTGGAACTGCTTTCCACGAACCACAATGTGGCCAAGTAACGGCCCAAACTTGTTTGATAAAGTTCCAAAGATTCTTTGGAGCATTTGGGTTCTCCTTTGCTATTGGTTTGTCTGAAGTAGCGCCACATCCTAGGCTGTAGAAAAGGGAATTTCAAGGTGTGAATGCCTGCATGAGTTTGCACAAACATATAATGCTGGTAAATGTCTTCCAGTAACAGGGATCTTGCTTTTTGCGACCTCCCCCCTTCTCGACTGTAGTCTGGATTGTAGTAGTCGAACGACCATCCGCATTCTCTACATATGTGCCCTCACCGGGTGGAGTCTGGCGCTCCTCTGCTTCGCGAGGTTCATCTGGTACCTGCGTGGAATCCGCCTTGGGTATTTGCGTCTGAATAGCTGGAGGTCCCTTTGCATCAGCAAGCGGCGTAGCGGGCAGAACGAATGGTGGTGGGCTGGGGAAACCTGAGTTATAGCCTTCATGACGGGGCGTGGTCGCCATGCTCTCGACCGTCTGGACCGTGTCAGACCGGTCGAGAGGGGTAATTGGTGCTGCAGGCTCCGTGCCAGTGAGACCTTGCGAACTCTCCAAAGTAGCGACTGCTTGACCAGCCACAAAATGACCATCACTGCGAGCAATATATGGGGCACCTGCCAAAACACTGAGATCCATAACAATATGTAGCGCACTCATGCTCAAACATTATCAAGATTCAAAGGCCCAAAATGGGTTCCCCTTTTTTCAAAAAAACATGCTCACGGTACCCTTCTAAGCAATGGTAGCCTGCTGGATGAGCCTCAGGCAGCCCAAGGTGACTATCTAACCCCAAAGCAGAGAGTCTTTCCTGAGCAGCACGGATCCGTTCCTGGGATGCCTCAGCCAAAACAAGCAGCCAAGCAGTATGACCTGCACAAACCACGAATTCAGCATATTAATCAGCAAAAATGCTTTGATCTGTTCTTCAAGAGATGGCGACACGGCTGCATGGTCCCCGTGCTCTGCCATCAAAATTCCGTTGGCTAGTGTAGCGCAAGAATGAGCAGGCCTGTACTCCAAAGTCTCTCGAGACATCACGTGTTCTCACCCAAAACCCCACTCGTTGTTGAGCCACAAAATTGATCATCATTGGCAAGCTCCTCCACAAGTAGGCTAATAGCAACTGGCATGCTTTGAATTCGGTCTATAAAGTATTGTTCAATCTTTTGCCGCCCTTCCACACAAATGTGTGGCTCCAGCGGCTGCCGGTGCTGCAAGAAGACATAAGACTTGCAACAGCCACACGCAAAGGACAAAGCTCTGGCGGATTACAAGTTGAATGGATTGTAATGATTCGAAAAAGTTAGTAAAAATATACTAATCGACACTTTTTGGAATTGCGCCTCGTTTGCGGGAATATGCGCCTCGTTTGCGGGAAATTGCGCCTCGTTTGCGGGTGCCCTTTTTTGCTAAATCTCGAAGAAAAGCGGTCTAAAATTTATAACATGCCTTTTTTGAGGTTCACTCAAAGATTCATCCGCCACTAGAGCTCTCCTGAGGATTAATTAGGAACACCTAGGAAGCTAGCTAAATACAAACGCTTTCCTCCGGATCAGCGTCAATCCTCTTGACCTGGCAGGAGCGCGCAACAACCCAATATGGTCTATTGAGGGTTCCTGCCTCTTTGAGTAATGTTTGCCTGAAGGATTGCATAGTTTCATCCCAGCCAGGGGGAATCCTACCGGCACAAGATGAACGGCAAGGGGGTTCCTACGATGAAGTTAATTGTCATCACTCATCAACGCCCCAACTAAGTCCTGAGGTGCTTCGAGGAGTACAAATATTCAAAAGCCACATGGCATTGTGATTCATACCAAATGTCCCCACAGGGAAGAGCTTCAAACAGCTCACGGTCGCTCTTGGTGGTGTCAACCTTTTCTCGTGCTCGCAAGTCATACCTCTGCCGTGACCTTCCCAGGCGATATGCTTCGAGAAGCCGCTTGGCAAAGGACCGGGTGTAAGACCTCCGAGAGAAACTGAACTGAGGGAAGGGGCTAGTGGCTAGCAAGCTTAATTGAGTCCCAGACTGAGTACTTTTGAGGAGAGCGTTGCCCTGGTAGCGAGAATATCCTTGCGAATCCACATATTTGCCTTAGCCAAGACGTACTATAGTATTATATATATATATATATTCATGTATTCAACAGTGGGACAAGTTGACCAAGATACGGGTTGTTTCGATTTGATCTGCTGATTCACGCTGGGCTTTTGTAAGAATACCCATATCCAAAATGGAGATGCTAGCATCATTGCTGAGGACCAATGATCGTTTTGGGCTGTTCTTGTCAAAGTGCATCATCCAAAACATCACGAAGTGAACCTAGGGAGCTTGGGATGGCAGTCCTAGTAGACAACAATGTACATCCAGGATAAATAGACTGCGGCTTAGAAGCGTAAGAAACACGGTTCATCAACCACTCCACCCTTTTGTGTCTGGGCAAAAGGCTTTGAGCCGGCTGCTCCAAATAGAACACCAAGTTCCGGGCTAGGATCACCAAGATCAACAGCACGCACCTCACCCCCGGGTCCCCAAGAAAGTACTATCAACGGCGAACAAGGTGATCAAAGAGAAGCATGCATGCTTTCAGCTAAAAGGCCGGCTCACCATACGGTTTCCGGAGGATACAGCATGAAAGGCTTGTTGGCCCATTGGGTTGACAAATGTCCTCCAAGTTGATCCCCTGGAGACTGCACTCCAGCTTCCACAGACGGGCGCGAGCAAATTGGCCCCATCCGGAACCTCGTTCAAGATGGTGTGAAGGCTTAACCTGACGACACGAATCCGAAGCTCCATAACCATGGAAATTAGAAAGCGCAGTCAAAGAGCAAGAAGCAACCGCTATGATCAAAGTCCATACATTCTCCGTACCGCACATCCATTTTGCAGCATCGGAAGCCCTGTTCCGACCTTAAAGCCCGGTGGCCACACAAACCAATTTCTTTATAGTCGCTATAGTATCATGCCATACCGAATATATATATATATATATATTTGTATAATATATATATATATATATACATATTAATTTACATATTATATGAACTCCAAATAGGCGATCTAGTGGCCAGTACTGGGTTGCTTGGGCATCTCCCGAGAAAAGCTCAAAGAAGTCTATGCGCCCTTCCTCTGAGAAGCTTAGGTTCTGTTGCCAAAGCAGCAGCAAAACCTGAGCAAAGCGAATCTCCAACCCTGAGAGGATACCGGCAAAACAAAGAAGAGGCTCGGACCGTCGCAATCAGCACCTGAACACATGCCCCACCAAAAAACCTACAGCAACAACCGCTGTGAACCACACTGAACCCAGCCTTTGGGGCTTGAACTTGGAGTAGGCGAGTCACTAGGGAGCCCCCCATGGCAACAGTTACGATCAATCCGAACTCTCAGGCCCAACTAGCTGCGTATAGTGCAAACGCCGATCAGGCGCAAATCAAAAGTGAAGAACGGCCGGAAAGAAGGCAAACATTGAAGCAAACAGGCCCGGCTGGCCATCACTATCGCATTCATCTCCAGGATAAGTGAATGAAGGCATGGAAGCCAAAGAGCCTGCCAGCGTTTGAAGGGAAACGCCCCCCCCCAGTAATCAAGAGCATGCGTGCGCAAGCAAGCAAGCAAGCTGCCGCATACTTTTGAAGCTCGAAAGCTAGGATCAGCAGCCGCAGAAGATTGTGACCAACCCAGCTTTGCTTGTTCAATCACGGTGGCCCTCGCCGGCGAGGACAAATTAAGCAGCTTTCATCAAAGCTGACTAAATCCCCATAAACTTGAGCTGCAATCCTTCAGCTCACACCCGAAAAGGAAAATGACCGTGCTATCACTGTGTCATTTGGTAAGCCTCAGTTTCCAATTGTTACCAGGCTTCCCGTACACTAGTATATAGTGACGCCGGCCATGCATGGACAAACTTGAAAAATGTAGATGCCAAAACATGCGCGTAATACAGACTAGAAACAAGTCTTGCTCTTTTCCTTGCTTCTACCTCTCCATGGATCTCCAACTGCTTTCGGTACTCGGCGCCATATGCACAACACTTGCGGCTACGCTTTGCTGCTGCTTGCGCTGCTTCCTGTGTCTCATACTCTTTCTTCTTGCGGCCGTTGCGAGCTGCAACAGGCTGATCTTGACCTTCTGGGACGGCTGTTTTCTCTCCTGCGGTGTGTTCCTTCTCCTGTTCATGCTGCTTGTTTGTTCGCTTTCCTTTACCTTTCCTGGATTCATCCTTCGAAGCATCCTTCTCCTTGCCTTTGCGGACCTTTTCCTCTGCCGTTTCCTTCTCCTCCTTGCCTTTGCAAACCTTTTGGTTGTCCCGTCCATCCTTCCTTCCTTTGGATTTTGACTCCCGAGTACTATTCTCAGGCTCTTTTTTTCCCGCCTTCTTGCTCCTTCTTTTCCTGCTTTTTGGCTCGACCCTTTGCCTTTGCCTTTGGCTCCTTGGGTTCTTTAGGCTTTCTACCTTTGCGCTTGGGTTTGCAATCTTCTCCACTGTCCTGTTCCTCCTCTTCCTTCTCCTCATCCTTCTTGTTCTTGTTTTTCTTTGCAGTCATTTTGTTTTGCTCGGTAGGATTGATGTGTGCTGTCCGCTTCATGACTTCAGCAGCTTTGGCCTGCAAGGGTTGCATACATACATGCACGCATGGCACACACGCGCGTATATTTACAGTATAATTAATATATGCATGGCATATTATAGCCAACTGCGATCCATGCTGTTCTCCAAAAACAACAAGCCTGCAGCTCTGAAATGCTGCCAGGACCGGGCTCAGCTGGACCGGCAGCAGCGCCCAGAGAAGGCATCCCCGCATCACTCGGGGGGGCTGGGTCAGGCAACTCACCCTCAGGCACGGGGTGGTCATGGTTGGGGTCATGCGCTTCAGGTTCCTTAAGAGCTTGAGGCTCGGATTCGGGGGTTTCCTCAGGCAACTTTGGAGCAAAGCCCGGTTCTCCACCATTCTCAAGTGGTCCTTTCTCAGCATCCTCGAGATGAATCACAATAGTGGTGGAAGAAACCTGCTGTTCATTTGGTCCCTGGAAGCTGGCATCATCCGGCTGGTCGGTTTCACCCAACACTAGAGTTTTTTGCGTCAACAGGGAGTGATCCGGATCAACCTCAACCTCAATCCTTTTTTGTTCCGGTTGGGGAAAAGGCTTGATGTCCTCGGGCTGACTGAAGTGGTTTCCCCAAAGCTCATGCGTCGGCAGCGGCAAAGTCTCAGCAAAGTCCATACCTTGGGGACTAAATATATTTAGCATGAACATGCCAGCAAACAAGAGTTCATTTGCATTTGCATGTGCAAACAGGGGGCTTCCATTCTGAAGTATTTCATGCGTCTTCTTCTCCAAGTCCAAAAGCTCTTGTTGTTTTTCCATCAAAGACGTAAGATGCTGGTAGTCCTCTTCCAACTGCTTTAAGAGTTTCACTCGCAATTCCATCTCGTGCGGCTTGGGGATCTTCTCCGCGCTGGACGACGGAGGTTCATCACAACCTGACACATGTGAGCAGAAAAGTCTCCCCCACAATGGTCCCAGGGTCCATCAAGATTGCGCTGAAACTTCGAGTAAACAGCCGAGAAACCTTTCGGCGGAGGCGTTTGAAACGTCAAAGCACGCCGGGGGCCTGAGCCAATGGGAGGAGCATGGATGGATCTTTCAAGCTGCATGTTATATGTTTATACACACTAGAGCTTAAGTACTATAGCAAAAAAAAGACTGGCCTTCCATCGGAACAGTTGCAGGCGAAGCGATCCCCTCCACAGAAGCCGCTGGAGCTTCACCAGGCGGAGGTAAGACAACGGGTTCCTGCAAATTTCCCAGAACCCTAAGAAAACAAACAGTCTGTGTAACACGCAACCTCTAAGTGATTTTAAGTGGACCTGTCAAACATGAAAAGAGAGATGCCGGTCCTCTATTTCTATAGGTTCATCAACTTCAAGTTCCTCTTCTTCTCCGGTTTCAAAAGACTCCTCACCCATTTCTTCCCCGGAGTCTTCCCCTGCAGTCGTAGCAGCCCCCACGGTTGAACTTCTAGAAGACGAGGCTCCATGCTCGGATCCTGGGGCTGAGCTCACGTGGCCATATGGAAGGGAGGTGCATACATACGCACAAGAAAACATCGAAGCAAACCTAAGAGTTCCAGTTAGTGCGAGAATCGCTCTGGAAATGGAACCCCTGCAGCGTCAAACAGAACCTTCGCTCCCCTGGAACGAGGACAGCACCCGCGCCCTGCCCAGCGCTTCCAAGAACTAATGAGCTTGCGGATGTACCAGGCAGTCCGCTTGATGGTTCCACCTTAGCATTGTTCACAGCTAGGATATGGGGCTTCACAACATGTTCCTAGGCACCAGTGCTCACACGTAGATTCGCATGCACACTTAGCCCACCACTGGTGGCAGCTTTCGAGTTGACGGGCCGACACGAATCATACATTCGCCGGACTGCATCTCGTGTCACGTCGATGGAAGGCTTCAAACCTGGGATGGTCATGGATGGTTTTTCAGGAAAAACCTGGAATGGTCATGGGCGGTCTTTCAAGATAAACTCAGCAAACCAACAAAAACAGAGTGCATCTATTCTCAAACAGCCTAGGTACCCAAGTGTTTCATCACTGGAGCTAGCACCGCAGCGTGAGCTTCAGCAGCCTCCTGTGAAACCCCCAACTCAGCGGTCATCAATTTGTATACAGCACTGCGTTGTACCAGGGCTTCGCTCTCCATCCACTCCCTCACAAGGGCCGTAAGATCCACTGGCATGGCGACAGTCTAAGCGAGAATCCAAAAAAAGAAAGATGGAACTGCCAATATTGCATGCGTGTTGGTTTCACATGCACCTGTTGTTTTGAGCACAGCTTGGCTGAGGTAGACCATGCATGGGCATTGTACATTTGCATGAGGTAGCGCTTGTCCTCTCACACAGCAGTTCCAAAAACAAGCACGCCTTCAGTGGCCAGAATGCCAGGAGAGCACCGATACCATGGCCACTGTGGTAGGATGAAGAAGCATTCAAAGACCCATCTAGCCACATACGGGTTTGGCGTATGATTAACCGACCCCCATGAAGAATTAGGTTGGAGGCCATCGCTATTAGGTTGGAAGCCATCGCTAGTAGGTTGGAGGCCAATTCAGTCAGGTCAATTGATTTGTTCCGCTTTGTAGGTGCAGGCCCATGGCCTTTGTTCTCTGACCGCGTGCCTTGCCACTACCAAGGCTTGGAACTAGAGCCACCTGGGCGCACACCTGGCACACATCAAGGGACCTGGCGGGACTCCAGGGAACTTAGGCGATGGGAAGGGCCCTTGTGTATACAAGAAAGACATGAACAGTCTCTAATTTCAAAAAGTGCTCCAAACCATCAAAGTCATCAAAAAGCGCTCATTTCATTGGAAAACGCTCAATTGGAGGTAAAGTGCTACCAAAGCACTGTTCGCCAAAAAAAAAAGTAACCAATGGATCTCCAGGAGGATATTGACATTGATAGGTATTGTACCTTGTAGGATACATTATATATATTGCCACCATTTGCGCCAAACCAAGGCCTGGTTCCTTGCCTAGGGTTGACCCTCGAATAAGAATAAACAACGACCTGTCACACGCCAAAACTCGGGTGTTGGACATCATAACTCCCATATAGGACAAATTAACAACAGGTGCTTGCTCAGGTGGGTGAGCATATTGTTTTACACTCCTACTTTTGTTCAACAATATTGGCTACTATCGCATCCAGCTGCTGTGGCTGTATTCATGTATATTCATGTTTATCCATATCCATCCCACAAAAAGTCCAATTGCCATTGTCTTCCTACAGGTCCAGTCTCACCCAGTATATGTTGGTCCTTTACCTCGTTGAGGTGCTTTGTGTGACCTGACCAACTGCACTAAAATGAGGTCTTTGACCTGTAGTTCTTTTTTGCTTTTGGAACTCAACCCTAGTTACACCAGCTAACAACTGGATCCTAGCACTTGTCACCACAACTCATTCCTGTCCATCAGCTTTGCTCCTATAGGTTGGCAACCTCTTGGCGCGCCTCATCCTTTGGTCCGTCCGACAACCTGCAGCCACCTGCGCAGCGTCCACTGCGTCCATGCAGCGTTTGCCGCCGCCGCTGGACACCCACTGCTGGTGCAATGGGAAGACGATTCGACGCTGGGACTGTGTAGAGCGACGCACAGTGCGAACGACGCAAGCCCAGGGCATCCAGTCACCACTCTAGCTGGTAACCGGTGGTTCCAAAGACTAAATACCACGGACATCCACGGACCTATAATCTCTGGTTCCTTATATAGTATATACCGGTAATACCTATAATACCTATAAGACCTATACCTATAATACCGGTGGTATATACCTGGGATCCACTGGGAAGGATATGGGACCCTGGGACCCTAGTACGGGATCGAACGATGTGACAGGCGCCCTGAAGTGGCCGAAAAACCGGCGTTTCAGAGCGTTGAAGAGCTGACTGCAGCCTCTGGGTTTTTGTGGGGTATGGGTCTAACTCAAAGACCAGCTAGGGGCGAATGAGTCAGAACTGTGGTGAGAAACCTTTCAACTCAGCTCCCGTTTTGTGGGTTCCCAGTCCTTGTTGATCCTGTTTGCTTGTGCTTCACATGGTGGCCTGTGGGGCTCCCAGTGGGGTGTTGAGTATTTTTACGGGTCGGGAACAACTTTTTTTACTTGGCCAAGAAGTGGCAGAGATGGTCCTTTTCCGGATGCTGATAATATGTCTATACCAACATACGGGTTGGGAAGGGCCCTGAAAGGTCTCAATTGATGACCTACTATGTGACTTTTATGATGCTTTTTATGATCTTTTTCTGTGTTCATCCTTTTGGACATCAACTCTGCTCACATATGCCCGGGCCGGCCTTGATGAGGCGCTTCGTTTACACCTGAAGAGGTCTGGTCAACCACGAAAGCTGAAAGCTCAAATCTCCAGAAGACCTGACCTGTCCTCATCGACCCTTCTGGGCCCAACTCCACCACCGTCGGACCGAAGTGGGTTTGGACCCGAAGGCTCTGGCGGTCTGCCTGGCCCGCTCCCCCCCACGGCCCGTGGGCACATCCGTACCGATGGTTGGTCGCCATTTGGGGCACCAAGGAAGGGACCTATGTGGATCAACAAACAGTAACCAGGTGCCTGGCAGCGGATGGGTCTTTCCCAAGAATCCAGCACATCCGCAGGCACGTCTCTTCCGCAGCATCCTCACCCTCGTCCTTTGGTCCGTGGCCAGGCATCCTCCCGGGCTGGTGTTCCAACTACACGCTCCGCCGGGACAAAGACCTCCTACGGCTGGGGCAACAGAGCGACTGGCTCCTGCTGCATGCAGGACGGGCGGCTTTATCTCAGTCCACCGACAATTCGGTGGCGATGACGATGGACCGAACTCTCTGCAATCGACGAACGAATCGACGACGAGTCAGGATTTGGGCACGAAGTTCCATGAGTCTGAGTCAAAGGTTGTTTGGTAATTACATCTAATAAGAGTGCATAGTATGGGTTATTGGTTGTAAAGATGTGGGCCAGAAGATGGGATGTGACCTGTTCTTTTTATGGGGGGGTGTCTGGGGGTTCTGGAAAACCTTACGTGCTAGTTAGGTTAGGTCTTGCGTCTCGTGTTCTTCCGCCGTCGCTTGGTTTCACCCGTCAGGCGGCCGAGCGACCATTCCCTTCAAGGGTCGAGCCTGTGCTTCGACCGGCGAATGGGGCGGTGGCGGCCCCGTTTCCCATGAAAGATAGATACCAAGAGAGGTTAAGTGACCGTAAATAGGACCTTACTGGGGTACCCAACTGGGATAGGCTAGTTCGGGTCCTTCAACCTCTGTTGGTACATACAAAAACCATCGGCGCCATGTTTGCTAAGGAAAGCTAGGTCTTGCATGGTTGATAACCTTTCATCACCTTTTTCGGTGGATAACATTTCCTCGAGTATACGATGCAAAAAGGTGAACCTGTATGTTTCGGGGAAACCGAGGGTCAGATACTTGGGGATGGGTCGTGACCATGTTCGCCCGACCAGTCCAATTATGTTTGCAAACGACCGACTCCATGTAGGATGACGCCAGGTCAGTATCCTGGTGTCATGACCTACAGCCATGTCAACCAACCGCAGCCTGAGGAGGGTTTGCAATCCAAATGGAGGAGGGGTTGATTCTTTTTTCTCAAGGGTCTACATTTACATTGTGCTTTGTTGGTGGTTCTTGTTATTTTTTGCAGGCATCATTGTGGGTTCAAACAGATGCAGGAGCCTGATAGATACAAGATGATACAAGACAAACTAGTCAGAGAGACTCCACATCCTGTAGAGTCGAAGATTAGACAATGAAGCGCTGTTTCGGAGGAGGGCATCGATCGATCTGCACCTGCCATCCCCGGGTGGGTGTGTAGCGTTCGATGTGTCTTTGTCTTGGCTTCCAAACCGCAGCCCAAGTGGAGACAGCAAGCGCGTGCCAGTGAGAACAGATGGCTTTGAAGAGACCGGTGATGAACCACAGCTGGATTCGGCGGATCGGATGCTGTTTAGAACAGATTCCTGGATGAATCCCCATACGGACACCGGCGGTATCTTCCTGGAGTCTCCAAAGTACCTAAATGGGACATGACCTCGTGAAAAAAGACATTAAGAAAAACATAAAATAGTCAAACAGAAACATGGTACAATTAGATGGTATACTTAATACCATCTTGTACGTACCCTATGCCCCATTGTCCGAGGCACGGTGCCTATACCCTACGGTCGACTCCTCCGAACTCCGTCTCGTGTGGGGCTGCTGGGATCGAGGTTTCGTCCAAGCTCCGCTCTTCAGGTGGCTTGATGACGCTGCTGGGACCCGATGCTCCGAGCCCCTCGGGCGGAGAAGGGGGGATGGGCCCGGGCCCTTTGGGGAGAAGGGCGGTGGTTGGTTCTTTTTGGGGGAGGGTGCAGAAACCCTAAACCCTAAACCCTAAACACATTATATCTAAACACCAAACAACGCAGTTCTGAACGCAGCAAGCAAAAAATATATATTTTGCGGAGTTGGGTGGCAGAAAGTGCTCTTGGAAGCACCCGTCTATGAAGTGGTGGTTGTGGAAACATTCATGGGACGGGCGTGGCAACTGCAGCGGCGTGGCTGGCGTTTGGTTCGAGATAAGCTGAGGCTTACAAGTGCAAGTCGATGGGCTGCCGCTTCAAAGGGTCCAGCCTCTTGGAGATGGATCAACATGGTAAGTTCATCCGCCTCAAAGAATACAGCCTCAAGTTGACTCTGGTGGACTGATAGATGTGTATGTCGGACGTGGAAGTCTTGGCTTTGGGGACCCTCTAGTCCCACCCACCTGTCTTCCGCAGCAAGAGTATCCTCGTGGTTTCCAACAAGGCTCGCTGTTGCTCAGGGCACTTATGAAAGATATGAACCTCAGCTCTCCGAGCGATCCTGTCGTGAAACCAAAGAGAAGAGGTTCCGAAATCCGCTACTCGACGCTAACACCGTGTTTTTTCCTTCTATTCCTGCTCTACTTCCTCCTTGGACCTTCTCCACCGAAACGCACGCAGGGGGAGAGTCCGGGCCCGGTTCCCAAACCCGATGTGTTGCGCTTCCGTGGCCTGGAGCTTGGAGGGTGGCACCCTCGTCCTTGCTTGGTGGATAGCGGATAGCATGGGTACCAGTCGCCCAGTCTGGGGGAGACTGCGACCGGCGGCCTTCATCGCGACCAGTCCATCGTCCCCTCACTGGGAGGCTACTGGATCGATGGTGCTACTACTGGAGGGATGCAGTGGTCTTGCTTTGTGTCGTGGTCTTGTGGATCTGGGGCTGACTGACAGGTTTTACCGACCTGTTGTTTTCAATCACACTCTGAGATGGCTGGAGTTGGGTTGGAAAATAGCCAAGCTGTTGTTTTTCTATGGCCTCCTGTACTTGTCTTTCTGCCTGAGATGGTGGGCTGGATCTGGGGCGGAATGACCAACCCTTTGTGCGTTCTTTCTTCCATGACTGTCTTTGGGGGCAACGTGGAATCTCACCCAACGAGAAAAACACACCACAGTCAGGACTGGACAGACAAATAATACAGTACGTAGATCAGCCATGCACCCGCACAAACAAAACTCCATGAGGTTGTGTGAGGTTTCAGCTTCCAGTATGGCAGTATGGCTTAAGCATCACAACAGGGGTAGTTGAACAAGAGAGGGAAACGTACGAAAGCATAGCCTAAAATCTGTGGTCTTGGGCTTGATTTGAGCCCCTTAGTACAGCGTCTAACAGCCACCAGGCAAGTTCTACGTTTGGTTGGTTGGTTGGTTGGTCGGTTGGTTGGTTGGTTGGCTGTCCACGTTCCTTCGGCAGTTATGTGGGGAAAAATTCAAGAACTCCTCACACACACAGCACAAGCACATCGAAGATGTCCAGCAATTTGCTCGTGAATCATCAAGAAATCCGGAGATTGACCACCTACAATACCCAAACACTCCATGTATGTCACATTTACCGATCAGTTGGGGTGGTTGACCTGGGCTCTATGGTAAATATGCCAGTCCCATGAGTCGTCGTGTCTGCCGATTCGCCGAGCTGCGTTCGGTTTGAACGCCTTCCGCCTTGCTCACTGAGGTGATGGACTGGCTGATAGCACTCACACGCTTCACCTGGAGGTGGAGGTGACGTAGCTTCCGTCAGCTTCTTTCTTCACTCTTGGGATGGGGAAAGCATGGCTCAGTGGTTTTTTGGTCTACATGGAGAAGGATCTAAATCAGAGTCAGACGCTTTCTTTGCTGCATGGCACCAGCTTTGCGTCAACCATGGGCGTCAACCATGGGCCCTTGGACCCGATCCATCGATCCGAACAGCGCAGCGCTGGCGCCTGGCGCCGGGTGATGTGTTAGGAGTCCTGGTTCCTAGGTGAGTTTTCGGGTCAACGCGAAGATTCATGTTACTTGTTTTCGGTTAACGGATGTTAACAGGTAAACAGGGTCCCAGATCAGTCTCCGGTCAGTCGCTTGCAAGCCCCCGTGGCGCTGTGGTGACGTATGTCACCTCCGTGGAACTGGATGGTCATCGACCCGACCACGTTGACCCGACCTGGATGTTCTCATGAGTCATTTGATGACTTGGAGGCCACTCAGGTCAGTAGATACATACACTTACTACTACACTTACTATATGCTTTGATCATTGGATACTATATTGGAGACATTCATTTCGAAAAGTAAGCAAGAATATGCAAGAATTATCAAAAGCAGCTTTTGTGCCAACTCAGATCAAGTATTTGGTATATTGTGTTTCTTTTTGTATGATTTTGTATGTACTGTGATAATCTCCTTGTGACAGCATTCAATGTTGACGATGGCTCGAATCATGTTTAAGACACTGGATTAGTGGAATTGGATGGGTCGGCTTCCTGAACTACTCAACCAGGCTTTATGTCCTTACAATCCAAGGACGATCTAAGCACTCTCACTCAGACAGTCATGGAAAATGATAGAATCACCCAGATCACCAATGCACTATTCCTCGCAATCTACAGGTATTCACAAGGGTTTGACACGCAGACACGCAGACACCACCTAGTCAGCCTCCTGAAATCTAATAATTTCCCTAAACACTTCGGATGACATCAATGACATCTATCAAAAGAGCATTGGTGCACCGGTGCACCTTCTTTGTGACTGCCCACGTCTTGAATCCCAAACGTCCTACGCCCTCGGGACGTTGGCCATGCCTGGGCAGCCGCCCTTGCACCGCGCCGCAACCGTCCGAGGCCGCGCCGCCGGAGCACGGCATCCTGAAGCGTCCGGCGAGCTCGGAGCTGTGGACCCACTTCGTGGCCGAGGCTCGAGCGCAAGGCGCGCGGTGGACCGCGGTGGACGAAGGAGACGGTGGGACCGCGGCGAGGGAGGCGGCGGCTCCGAGGCAGACAGAGCTGAAAGGCGGCACGAAGGAGTTAGAGCGAAGTGGTTGGAACAGCGAGAACGGGCGAAGTGGTGAGGTGTTGGAACAGCGAGGGATTGAAGAAGACGGTCGTTCGGTGAACGTCTTTCGGGGGTGAAACAAAGGTTCCTTCTAGATGTGGAAGTGCTATTTTTTCCCATGTGTGTTTTCCTATCATTTTGTTGTTTGGTACATTTGGGACTGGGTTTATCATGGGTTTTATTTTGCTTCATCAATAGCTGCAGCATTTCGCTTCCAGCTGACCAGGTCGTCCGCCACAGAAGCTTTGGCTGCTTTATGCTTGTGCAGTTGAGAGCGATCCGAGCCAAAAGACGTCCGCGCAGCTGTGGAGTCTGTGGCGCCGCGTCAGTGTTCAGGTGATACTGAGGAATAGGGAATGCCAATGGGATACCTTAATTGAGAGGATCCCAGTTTCGAGTTGCTGACTTACTTGTTTTTTGGGGGTTAAGATGTTTTAGGAACCAGGGACTAGGGACCCTCGTTCGGATTGTTTCAGTCGAACTGGAAGTACTGGTTGCCAGCTATAGTGGACGGCCACATATATACATGCATGCAAGTATATAATTCAACCAGGGATGCCCGTCAGTTGCTGGATGTATGACCGCTTTCCCACGTTTCCCTGACATGGCTTGGTAGGCCACAACAGCTTTGTCCGGATCAATTTGAGATCCGAGAACGGGTCAAAGCGCTGAGTGATGGTCTAATATAATATAATCTTTGCTTCGCATTGACCGATGTTTGCCTCCCTCAGTTTTGCATAGCCTTTTCAACATATATTCGGGTCTCTGGAATTGGTTCACAGCGTGGACTCTTCGCATTCCACACGATCACAGCGGAACGGGAACTGGGCGAACGACTAATGTAGTCCCTTGATTTGTAAACCCCCTCCCCCCCCCTCATCAACCAAGGCCTCCAAAATAATGTATAAGAAAATCAATCAATTGATAATTAAATAACCAATCCTTAGCTAGCTACCTATGGAGCTACTCTGGCAATATTAAAATAAAAGGAATCAAGAAAACCTAACTTTGAAGACATCTGGAATATTAATTACAATGAAAGGGAATGAATCAATGGAAATAGAACTAACTGTTTAAATTTCAATGGAAATCTGAATCCAAAGACCTGCAATTTCAATGGTAAGTAAAGCAAATCAAAAGGCAAAGAAAAGGAATAAAGATTTAAAGCCTCAAATCTCTAGACATTATTCTAGGGGCTCCCCCTAAATAATGTCAGAAAGCTGCTTGCCGGCCCCTTTGCTTGAATGATTTGTTTTGTTGTTCAATACTTTTGAATAAGGGATTTTATAAAGAACGTGCGCGCTGACTTTTGGAAACTTTTGGAAAGCTTCAAAACTAAAGAGCTTAGGCAAAGTAAATAAGGAATAGAGGGTGAGTAAAGCAAATCAAAAGGCATAGAAAAGGAATAAAGATTTAAAGCCTCAAATCTCTAGACATTATTCTAGGGGCCCTCCCTAAAAAAATGTCAGAAAGCTGCTTGCTGGACTACCCCCTTTGCTTGAATGATTTTTTTTGTTTTTCAATACTTTTGAATAAGGGATTTTATAAAGAAAGTGCGCACTGACTTTTGGAAACTTTTGGAAAGCTTCAAAACTAAAGAGCTTAGGAAAAGTTAATAAGGAATAGAGGGTGAGTAAAGCAAATCAACAGGGAAAAAGTAAACTATAACAACAAAAAATATTCCACTACAACTACCCCTCCCCAAAAAAATACATTATTCTAGGGGCCTTTATAAATCAGTGCAGGGAAAAAAAAGACCTTATTCTAGGGGGGTTTATAAATCTGAGGGCCACATTAAAAGGAGCTGATGTGTTCCTTCTTATCTCCAAGAGCCTTAAACTCATATCTGTCTACCAGGACCCGATTTGGGGGGTTCCCCTTTTACTTAACCCATACTTTATAACTGAATGGTTCTTCTATGCCGGATCTTAACAGAGGAGCCCGAAATCCTGTGGCCAAACTGCCGGTGCTGGCTCGTGCTGCGCCCACTCCCAACCTCCACCGGCCTCCGGCACCTCCAGGGAGATGTGGTCGGAGTGCGGCGACGCAGCGGCGAATGGGTGGAGCTGATGCAGGCGACGATGGGACGGCCCCGATCATGTCGATGATGTGGATGTTTGTGATTGCTGATTGTTCTCCCAGCTGAAATCTGGGTGAATTGTGAAGAAGTCCGGTATACCTCTTTTTCGACTCCCAGCTTTGATTCTGAGGAATCTTTTTCATTTAGGGTCCCAGCTTTCTTAAACCCGGAAGACCTGCACATCCGGTCCGGGTTTCCTCGGGTGCGGTCCACTACGATTTCTTTGGGAACGTTGAGAGTGCATATACATCAGAAGCTGATGAATTGGCTACTGTAAATACCGCGGTTACCGCGTCACGGAATTTTCAACTCATAGTTGCATAATGTTTCATAGTTCATTGCACCAGTAGATCTTCAGCAGTATAACTGTATAACCTTATCCAACAAAGTCCGGGCCACCTGCCCCGTGTCCACTTGAGGTCTCCAATTCGCCAACAGAACTTGAGGGAGATCAAGAACCAAAGAGCATTTCCGCCAATTCCTAGTTGAGCTTCACTTATAGCCGAAAAGCCAAGCATTTCAGGACATGAAACATGCTACTTAAGTGCCCCAGATATGACATTCCGTCCACTACAAACTCCAAGGTTTGGTGTTTGGGTCTTTGACCTTGCTCAGTTGGAAAGAGTAGGATATAGCATACTCAGACGCTCCAAACAGCTTTTGGTCCCTGAAAAAACCTAGGGATTGGTTCCGCGTGTCCTGCAACGGACTTTTTCTGCTCCAAAAAAGGGCTCCGGTAAAGTATGCGATCCGACATGGTACACACTCGATTTGTGCACCGAAGCCTAGCAAACTTGGTACACTTCTCATGTACCTCAAACCTCAATTGGTGCACCTGCACTCCCCCTCGAGCGCTTCGGTCGAAAGAGGTGCCACCAAATTTTCAAAAAGCTTCCGCCACGCTCAAGCCCTTCATCTCCTTCACGGAGTTCTGAACAAAGTATACCCCCACCAGGTGTCTAGATGACACCCTTTCCTCCCATTTCGCTCATCCACTAGGATCACCTTCCTCTTCGCGACCGTAGGCCATGCCACCGTCATTCTCCACAGTCCCCATTCTTCCTCCAAGAGGGTCTTGGACTCGAAGTCAAACAGCTTCTTTCGATCCTGGTAGTGCACCCTGATGGCAATCTTCCGGCCCCCATCGTGGTCAACCAGGTGCTCCCAGGAGTCTTTTGCGGCTGTGCGCCTCGGTGGGGTGGAGATGATCTTCAGGACAGCCTCATTGATGAAGCCCTTCTGAAAGCCGGGTGTCCTGAGGTAGTCCCACATTTCCTCTTCGTGGTACCACTTCCCCAACACGATGCCCTTCTCCACCGTGGTGACCAGCCTCAACGGTTCCACCCTGGGCAATCTCCCTTGACGATTCTCCTCTGGTGGTGCTCCCCCTTCCTGAGGCTGTTCTCCATTCGTGTCACTCCCTCGAGCTTCAGTGTCGATGTGTCGCGGGGGTCCTCGGCCATCTCCTGGGTCCCTTACGATGAAGTGTACCCCCTCAGAGTCCATCATCACCCACGTGCCCCCATGATCACGTCGGGGTCCTCGTCGAACCATAGATCGGTCCCAGGCACTCATCCCCAGACCAAGGTTCGCCCTGCGCCTCTCCTCCGCCTCAGCATCATAGGCTCCTCGACACCATAGTTCTGACTCGTGTACTCGAGGTTCAGCAGGAGGTCCATGGTGTCCCTGAGATAGTCCCGACCCTTCAACTTCATCGGTCTGGGTGCTTCGGTCCTCTGCGGCTCCTCCTCTTCTCCCTCCTTGGACTCTCAAAGCTCGGACTGAGATCCGACTGACTGGATTTCGAGTGCCCATTTCCTGTCGTTGGTAAAGGGGATCATCAGGCTCTGCCCACGGGTACATCTCCTCGTGTCCTGAATAGCCGAACCCTCTCGAGCCTCGGACAGTCTCTGTCAAGTCCTCGACACTGTTGACCCCAACCTCCATGATCTTCTCGATCACCAGCTGGGCCACCCGATCACCCTTGTAGATGAAGAGGTCCTCGTCGCTCCAGTTCCGCAGCAGCACCTTCACTTCCCCTCGGAAGTCCCTGTCGATGACTCCGGCTCCGGTCTCAATTCCCCGGATGGCCAAACTCGACCTCGGAGCCACTCGCCCATAGGTCCCTGGTGGAAGTTCAATCGCCAAGCCAGTCTTCACCAGGACACTATCACCTGATGGAACCATGGTCTCAATGATCGAGTGGAGATCCAAACCGGCTGCCTGCTCTGACCCGCGGACTGGTAGTCGTGCATCTGGATGAAGTAGCTTCACCCGGAGCTCCTCCTTCGGTGTCATCCAGCGCTTGACACCCGCAGCACCCACTCTGAACAGAATGTCTCCGATAATCGCAATCGCTGCTGTGAGGAGAACCAAGATCCACCACTCGCTGCCTCCTCCATCAGGTTGGGTGTCGCTGGCCTCGACCCGAGTAATCATGCTCGTCGCCGCGATCAGCAGCCCAAGCCCCCTGGCGAACCTCGGGTCAGGACTCTTCCTTCCCATCTCCAGCCTCTTGACCTCCATCTTATCCACCACATGGACCCTTTCCAATCCCAAGGTGTCCTTGAAGTTCTTGAGGTGCTGGCCCGTCAGCTGCTTCGTCATTCCATCCGCCACTAGCTCGACACCGGCCACGTGTCTCAAAGAGACTTCTCTCGACCTAAGGGCCTCTGTCAATCCAGCGGCTCGGATTCTCAGGTGCTGTGTCCTCCACGATGAGGTGGTGCCTGCAGCAATCGCTATGGCCGCCGTGGAGTCAGAGTGCATCCTCATCTTCACCTTTCTCTCAAGCACTGCCTCAACCAGAGCTCCCGCCGAGCGGATGGTCACCAGGCCCTCCAGCATCGCCATCAGCTCAGCCTCTGCCGTTGAAAGGGTGACAAATGCCTGCCTCGTCGTATGCCACGCTATCGGAGTTCCTCCATAGCACACAACCACGCCGGTCAGGCTCTTGAGGTCAGATGAGGCGTACGAGGCGTCCGAGTAGACCTCAATGTCCCCCAGCACCTCCTCCACTGCATCCCGTCCTCCCTCGCTTCCTCGGATCACCAATCCTTCATCCCGGGTCTCTCGAAGATACGCTCGAACTTGAGCTCCAATGGCGATCACCCCTTTAGGCCTCTTGGTCGCCCATTGGCACATGAGGCTCACTGCCAGGCAAATGTCTGGGCGTGTTCTTCCGGCGACCCAAAGCAGCTCTCCAGTCTCCTTCTGGGCTCTCGTCACGTCGATCGCCAGGGGTGGATCCTCCTCCTCGGGCGTCTTGATGTTCTCGAGCGATGACCTTCCCTTCTCGTCATACTCTATGAAGAGATTCTCCAGGTACGCCCTTTGGTG